ACTACGTCTGGAGGATGTTGAGCATCGGGACCAAGAATTGAGAGGATAAAGGAGAATTTTAGTTGAGGACAATGGTCCACGATGACTGCTTGCGAATTATTTTAGAATATTGTGAAAGTTGATGAAGCAAAATACAATTTTGTAACTAGATAATAGGTTAGGCAACTAAACCTGAGCCCGTATGCTACCATCGTGTAATCTGTCGAAAAGATAAGTGAATTACTGAGGGACATCAGGGTTATCTATAAAGAGAAAATAACACTTTCTTTGGCGATGCCTTATTTTAGACAATATTCCGACCCTTTCTCCAGATCTGGCAGTTACAAGATTTTGTATTCATGCGGTAGCACCTATGTGGGAGGGACATATAGGCTCATGCATAAGAGGCTATCCGAAAACAAAATAGACTGCAAGAGTCTGTCAGTCCAAAAATCGGAATTGGCCGAACACATGACTCACACAGAACACCAGACTGGTATTATGCTAAACTCTTAGCTGGATATGATAACTATATAAGTAAGCGGAAGATTGGTGGAACTATAGAAATCAGCAAAACAGCCAGCACACTAAATAGAAGGAATAAGTCTTGGAAGTTAAGTGGAAATTATTTGTGGCTGCTGGATGGGATTAGAGAGAGGGGAAAACGCGAAGTATCACTGAACAAGAAGCTTGATTAGGCTTTAATCTGGTTTTGACTCGCTCAGCCCACTTAATTCAAGAAAAAGGCATTCACACTGCATACGCGCAACAGAACGTAATCGCATGCGATAGGATTGCAGGATCAAAGATATAAGTGTTTAGTAGGATGCAAATGTTCGACCACAATTGCATATGTTTAATGTTTCATGTGCAACTACTTAACTTTTTAGCAAGCATTTAGGCAAAGAATGTATATCCAACCAAAACAAGAGAAGCCTAATTAAGTGAACCAACTTGAACTAGAAGTACTTAGGTATGAAGACCAAGATGATGTGGCCTTTTGTGTGGTCGCAGTCTCCTTTCGTTGAACAACCACTATAGAAATACTTAGGTTTGAGACCGACCAACTTTATTGTCTTTATGTATTGGTGAGTTATAATTAAGCAAGGTGACTTGCTCTGAAGATGTATGTAACATGACGAAAGAAAGCTCAGCAGGAATTAATCGGGTTTCACGGTAGTGCGCCGATTATCTATTCGCATAAATATAGTCACGGCTCCAAGGCAATCCTCCCACAACTTCAGACAAGACTAAGTTATGAATCCGTCCATTCGCTCTTCAAATAAAATTAAAGGTACTTTAATATCAATCAATTAAGTGAGTCTTAGAAACCCAGTTTCTCTACATAAAAGAAAATATAGTAGCCTACCCCTGTGGTCACGATATTATGCCAAATCTGCAATGCCTTCGCTCGAACGAAGCTGTTAACATCGTGAATGTGTTCCTACAATAGGGTGATAGGTAAAAATAATTAAAATGTATTAAGAAAAATATTATGGTTTGAATAAATAAACTTTAATCACAATCCAACTTGAAGAACTCGTAATGAATAGTGGAAATTGCCTGTCAGCTAAGAGACAATATTATATAAGATAGAAGTTGTTTGACCTTGTTTTCGCAACTTGGTCATATTGGTACGAAGACTCAGAGGAACGCAACTTGTCCGGAGTCCATTGTATGCATAATCATTTCCAAAGTCGGACCATGGACGTAGTACATTCCCAGAGGTTTTGCCGGCATCGTCAGTGTGTTATGCCATTCGTAGCACCATATTACAAATCGTCAAGAGACAAGTGAAGCCGATCTTTTAACCAAACGTGTGCTAAACAGTTATGGTATCTCCCCTTCTGCCCTGGCCTATTCACATTTCCTATATCCTCCAAATAGCATTCACTGTCACAATTTTTTACTTGCTTAATTAAATGTGGTACGGTGTGCCCTTTTGAGCGGCTGTCATGAAAACCCTCCTCACTCAATACTGGCCTCCTCACCCCCTTTTATCCTTGTGCTGGGAATGTTGATCAGTCCGTCATATTTTTACGCAGTCCGCGTTCCTTAGGTCTTACCACAGTATCTCTATTGCCCCGTACGATCCGTCTGCCCTCTCCCTAGTTTACATTTTTCACTCGACTCCTGCCACTCTATCTGTCCCACTCGAAGCGTAATACGCCCTCATCATCTTGGTCTTCATATAAGATGATTGCAGATTATGTAATGCTAATAAAGATAACATTTCAAGAAATATGGAAATTAGCATAAAAGAGAGAATTAGCTGTATTTTTATAAGTCAATTTGAAGAGAATAAACTCACATAGTAAGGGATAAAATAAAAAAAATGCATTTAAGAGTATGTGCTTTAAAACGCCCGAACGACACGATCTACAGAGCAGATAAAACCCAACTAATGTATGTACTCATTTAATAATATAATTTACAATATGTAAATGAATGTTTTCATATAGTAATATCTGAAATCTAAATGATATGTATTCACCTCATTTCGGGATAATTTCTAAGTAATTAAGGACTGGTGGATGAATTTCCCCACAATGATATGAATAGGCTATACGTTTCCCTAAAGCTATTATCAACCAGGGTGGACTGAAATTTTAACTTCATCTAAGCCTCATCAGCACCCCCAGCGGGGCTCGAACCGCGATTGTGCAACGTATAATCCCGGAAAGTTAATTATTAGGGGTGCAGTTGGGTCACAGCAGATATGAACTTCAAGGAAAGCCAGACGTTTTCCAATATCACATTCCGTGGTGGGATTGTCGATGAAGCAGTTGTATCTGCTATAGCAATCACCTACATTACTTAATTTTCGTTTATACCATTTTTAAAGGATATCCCATTGGCGAAACTTAATTAAGATTACCTGTAATAAATCCAAAAGCTTGTCGCGCTGCATACGTTCCTTTGAATCCAGCTGTTCACGCCGCGCGAAACCCCTTAATACCTCACCTATAACGGAAAGTGCGCAATTACGCATTTGGTAAGGGTCTTCATCAAGGCGGGGACGTAATAGCGGAAGGATCGATTGAGCCATTGAGGGATACTGAGCTGCCACTTCGAAAAGAAAAGTGGAGAAGTGATGTGTGGCTTGGGAGTCACGTTCCAGATCTGCAGAACTATAGCTACAAATCTCCTAAAAGATGGAATAATATAACATACGATAAAACGGAAAAGCTGTTCGAAGCTACATGAAAATAAGAGGCGAATAATGATATTTCGAAATAAAGTATTTCTTTTAGAAATTTTCACATCGTTTTTTGGAAGATAGGGTAAATTATAGTGTCTAAGACTAATAAAAGCTGGTGATATATCTTTCATTTTTTCTACAACTTCATAGAATGCTAGGAAGGAACGAAGACATAGATACAACACCAGGGATCGGGCCCGAAATAAGCAGAATTCCTAATTTGTTTCCTTATTACAATGATAGTTTTTAACTCTTAATCTTAATTATTCCTATCTTAAAGCATTAAAATCTTAAGAGACCATACTTTCAGTATGAAATATATAATTGATCCTACCAATTTAAAATACAATTTAGATAAAAATGCGAAGACTGCATTAAAATAATAAAAAGTAAAACCTATGAAATGTTTTGATCTATTTAAGATATGGAGACACGTTGAAGCGTGTAAATAATAAATTAAAAGAAGCAAATAGCGACAGACCTTGAGCAATTCTCTCACTGTTCCGGACAATTTCTCTTCCTCCAGGAATCCTCGAACAACAGCCAGCAAGCAGTTACCCATATGTGGATAACATTGCAACATTTGAGCCAGCTTCACGCAACAAGTAATGCTGTGCCCATAAATCTTGACAAGACTTGCAATAATCCGAGTAATTGAAGCGCGAATACCAGCAGAGGAAACTAACTCCTGATTCTCCAAAAGTTTATAACAGCAATTGGCCAATAAGCTAAATTATGAAAAAAAGATACATCCCAAGATAAAATGTTAATTAATTAAAATTAGAATTATATAATAAAAATAGGTCCATTAATACACCGTTGTTCCCCTTGTTTGCAGAGGCGGGTGGAGGGGATTCATCTCGGGATGATGCGCCGCCGACAGCATTGCAAAAAGTCGGTCACAACCAGAGAGCAATCCTCCCTCTGTTTAAGGTGATGATAATTTGCGAACCCATTCCATTCACATTTGCAAACAAAATAATAAATCATAAAAAATGAAGCTGTTAGAAACGTCTTCGAAGCCTAGCTTGTCTTTAAGGGTACGCTTATAGCTAAGGAGATTATCAAGACTACTTGACAGTAGTATTGTTAACTTTAAAA